GTGAGCGTTCTCTTCTGACGCGAAGAGGTCTACTTCTGCTCTGCCGAATAGTCGCCACAGTAACTGGACCGTCTGTGAGTTCAGGGACCATTCTCCTGTGGAGATGAGGTTCCTGGACAGTATGTCTGGACCGTCGTTCAGATGGCCCGGCACGTGCGTCGCTCTGAGCGAGAGCAGGCGGCTCTGAGACCAAACTAGAATGCGGTGCGTCAGTCGACAGAGATTTCTGGATCTGACACCGCCCTGACGGTTGAGATAGGAGACCACGGCCATATTGTCCGAACGGATCAGGACGTGGTGTCCCTGGATGCGCGGGAGAAAGTGCGAGAGCGCGTTCTCGACCGCCAGCATTTCCAGACAGTTTATATGTAATGGGCTTTCCTGAATCGACCAGTGGCCGAAGGCCGGTGAGCCCTCGCAGACTGCACCCCAACCCGTGTTGGATGCATCTGTCGAGATGACTTTTCGGCAGGAAAAGGTCCCCATCGTGACGCCTAGACGAAACCATTCTGCTACTGTCCATGGCTGCAGCGCCGTGAGACACGTTTGCGTAACCCTGATCAGCTGGCGACCCGTGTTCCACGCGCGGTGGGGTACACGGCTGTTCAACCAGAACTGAAGCGGGCGCATGTGCAGAAGGCCCAGCTGAAGTACAGCGGAGGCTGAGGCCATGTAACCCAGCATCCTCTGAAAAGTTTTCAGAGGCCTGCGGGTGCCCATCTGGAACGAGGCGGCTAGACGCTGAACACTGCGCGCGCGCTGTGTAGACAGGCGAGCCGTCATCGTGACCGAGTCCAAATCTATTCCTAGGAAGGAAATCGATTGACTGGGATGAAGGGAGCTCTTTGTCCAGTTGACAGAGAGGCCCAGCGTTTCCAAATGGTCGAGGAGAACTGCGCGGTGCGACAGAAGCTCCGTCTGTGATTGGGCCAAAATCAGCCAGTCGTCCAGATAATTCAGAATGCGCAGCCCCTGGCTTCGCAGGGGGGCGAGCGCCGTATCCATGCACTTCGTGAATGTACGGGGCGCCAGAGATAAGCCGAACGGGAGAACGGCGTATTGATAAACAAGACCCTCGAAGGCGAAACGTAAGAATGGCCTGTGACGGGGATTTATCTGGATCTGAAAATAGGCGTCTTTCAGGTCTAGAGATATGAACCAGTCCCCTTGGCGCACCTGCGCGAGGAGTTTCCTGGTAGTGAGCATCTTGAACGGTCTCTTCATGAGCGCTTTGTTCAAAGACCTGAGATCTAAGATCGGTCTGAGGCCGCCGTCTTTCTTGGGAACCAGAAAATAACGGCCGTAAAACCCCGACTCGGTCATAGATGGCGGGACTCTCTCTATCGCGCCCTTTTGCAACAGCGTCGCAATTTCTGAGCGGAGCGTGCCGGCGGCCAGCGGGCTGACAGAAGATTCGAGCTGCGCGCGCGCACGAGGCGGGCGGCGGCGAAACTGTAGCAGGTAGCCGTTCTTTATAATGCTTAACACCCACGGGGAAATGCCTGGAATGGCTTCCCACGCTTTGGAGCATGCGGCTAGTGGCCGAATGGCTGTATTGCCCTGATTGCTGCACATAGCGGGCTGGACACAGTGTGTGGGCGCGCTTTGAATGTGTGTGGCAACGGGATTTGCACTCAGAGAGGAGTCTATGGGCCGTGACACAGAGCGAGCAGAGAGGGGACACGTGCACGAGCTCGTGGGCGTGTTTATGTTCTCTGATATTAGAGCGGGCTGTGCCCGTTTCATGTGATGGGGCTCTGATAGAGACACGGGATATGTTATGCTTGTGTGTATGGGTGAACACATGATTGTGGGCACATTTTCTACACAACTGGCAAAATTTCTCTTTTTGAGATTTCTCTGGGTAGCCGTAAAAACGGCTTTTTGTCGCTCGCAAGCGGGCTGGGACACCGGCTTGTTTGTGGCGGTCAACACTACAGCAGTCGGCGAAATAACGGGGACTGGCAGAGGGCGAAGCTTTGACGGCGGTCCGGCCACGGCGGGAGAGCACCGTCGTTTTCTTGACATTGTTAGGCAGACTTCTGATGATCAGGCTTCAGCGTGATCTTGGGTCGCGGGCCACGGGGGGGCGGCGGTCTGCGGCGGCTGTCAGAGCGAGAGCGAGGGCGAGGGCGGCCGCTCTGACTGCGCTGAGTTGTTTGAGTCTGCGGAGGGGGGCGCTGTGATGGGGCTCTGGCGGAGGGCTCGTGAGAGCGGCCCGCTGAAGAGCTAGCGCGGCGGGGTAGAAACAAGTTCATCGCCTGAGAAGCTTTCTGTACTTCAGAAAAGCGATCGACAATTCCTGTGACGGCAGATCCAAACAGGCCCGTCGGGGAGAGGGGCGCGTTGAGAAACGCGGCGCGCTCAGAATCTCCCATGTCGGCGAGCGTGAGCCATAAGTGTCTCTCAGCAACACAAAGGCTGGCCATGCATTTTCCCAGAGCTTGTGCGGCGGCTTTAGTGGCGCGAAGGGCGAGATCCGTAGCACTTCTCAAATCCGTGACGGCGGGGGGGGGGTTTTCTACCGCCTTCGGCCCATTCACGGAGAATATCGCTCTGTAACACTTGGAGGACAGACATAGAGTGAAGCGCAGCGGCGGCCTGACCGGCGGCGGCGTAAGCGCGAGCATGAAAGCTCGAGGTCGCTCTGCAAGCCTTCGAAGGAAGCGTGGGTGAAGAACGCCATCTAGCGGAGGGCGGGCAGAGGTGTGTGGCGACCAAGTCCTCGACGGGCGGCATGGCTGCATAGCCTTTCTCGGCGGCTCCGTCCACCGAGCGCAGCGAGGCGGATACATCGGAGCGATTTCTAGCCGAGAGCGGTGCATTCCAGGATTTTGTCAGCTCTGCGTGAAGTTCAGGCAGGAATGGAGCGGCCCGGGTGCACGCGGGGGTCGAGCGCCGATGAAAAAAGCTACCGTCCATTCGGTTCGGGGCCTGCTCGGGTGGAGGAGACCACTCGAGACCGAGGCGTTCGACGGCCTGTGAGAGGAGGCGCATCAGCTCCTCTTCTATCCCGGCGCGGGTCCCCGTCGACTCTCTCGCGGATCCGAGAGATGACCAGTCTTCACTGTCAGAAGCGAGCAGTGAACAGGAGTCCTTCTCCTCCGCGGCGTCATCGGAAACAACAGAGCGGCCACTCGGCGGCAACTGAATGTCCGGCAGGGGCGGGGAGGGAGAGCGGGAAGCGGGAGGCGGCGGCGGCGGCCCGCATGTTTCCGCTGGGGGCTCCGGCGGCCTTTGAGAGCGGCGTTTCTTTTTACGCGGCGAGAGAATAGGCGGCGCGGGAGCGGTTTTCACTGCCAGAAGTCGTGCCCGCAGGGACGATAACGGCAGGCTTTCACAGAGGTCGCATCCTCCATCAGCGAGGGCGAGTTCTGCATGCTCGAGTCCCAAGCAGAGAGCGCAGATGACATGGCGGTCTCCGTCCTCGAGACGAGCGCGGCAAGAGCCGCAGGAAAAACGAGACATCTTTAAAAAGACGCTCGGCTCTTTTAGAAATAGAGAAAGGATACAATCGTCGGATGGCCTAGCTTGCTGGGCGGCTGAAGGTGGCGAAGACGGCCGGCTTCTTCAGGGTCCTTGAGCTCGCTAGAGGATGCCTTCTTCGACGGCGATGGCTTTTCTCAGGAACAGCAGAAGCGTGCAGCTTGCTGAAGATGAAATGAATCAACATATAAGCCTGGGAGAGCGCCTTATATACACCATGGCCACGCCCATTCTGGCGGGTCATGACGCAATGAGCGCGCGGGCGCCTCTCATTGGAAGCGGGTTCAGCCCCGCTCTCCCATAGGCTTAAGCAGTTCTCTCTGAGCGAACCAATGAGCTGCTAGCTAGCCCGCTCTAGGTCTGCCGCAGAGGAACTGCGTTGTGTATGGATACAAAATTATGAAATAATTTTTTGGCTTCAATATCTCAGCAAAGATGAATCTTTCCCGCAGCGTAAGCTAGCTTACGCAATACGAGAGAACCTCTCGTAAGAGAACAAACTATACACTGGGAGAACAGTGACAAATTCGAAACTCTGAAAAAATGATTGCACAACACCGTAAAAAAGAGTGTTGCACTTCTGAAGAAGGAAAACTCAAAAACAAAATTATGTTTGCAGAGATTTAATTTTTTTTACCCCTTTGCAAGCCTGCAAAAGTCTGTTTTCAGAGTTTCAAAACTTTTTTTCACACATTCGCACACCAGTTTTCAGATCACCATTTACAAGGTTTCAAACCTGGAAAACAAACTAATACAGTGGGAGAACACTGACAAATGTGAAACTCTGAAAAATTGTTTGCGCAACATCGTAAAAAAAATGTTGCAGTTCTGAAGAAGGAAATCTCAAAAACAACATAATGTTTGCAGAGATATTTTTAATTTTTTTACATTTTGCAAGCTTGCAAATCTTATTTTTCGATCTTGCAAAACTTTTTTTTGTAAGATTTTGAGTTTTCGAACACTTAGTTTCAACCTTTCAGAACTTTATTTTCAGTTTTGAATCATGGCAGGATATTAATCCCATACCTGTAGAAAAAAAGAAGAAAAAAAGTTGCTTTAGTACAAGCAACTTGAATGTTTAAGTGATTTCAACTTAAATTGTATTTAACTGACTTTTAAAAAAATGTGTTGAATCTTGTATAACAAAAAAAGTTGAAAATTACTTAACTTATTTTGATTAGTTAAAGCAATGTAAAAACAAATGTCACAACTTATGGATCATAAGTTCTTACAGTGTAGAAATAATCTGTAACATCATTTTAGCATAATTTCTTTTTCAGCAATAATCATTGTTTAATTTTTGTTAACTTCATCAATCATTTACATTGCACCACTACTGATACAAGTGACATTTATTGATCAAACATGTCATTTTGGACTGCCATCTTATTGACCTTGAAATTGTACATTACCAACATGTTGTACATTGTAGTAATTTTGTATTAGCCTACTCATTTAGGCCTAGACTGTTGTTTTTTCAGTGTGACTGTTTTCCTTAGTGTTAATGCTTGCAGTGGGTCTGACAGGAACCAAACTGGGATGTGCTGAAGGAGGTTGTGGAGCCTGCACTGTAATGGTGTCCAAATATCATCCACATCAGAACCGGATTATGTATCTTTTTATGTACTCTGTGGTAGATTTTTCCCCTACACACCTGACTTAGGTTGAACTGAGTGTCCCTGACACGACACCTGAAAATATTATACTCAGTTGAGTTCACCTTCAGGTTGACGCCTAAGTGTAGCTATTCTGACCGCATAAAATGCCTAAGAATTATAGTTACCTGACCGCAATCTAACCCCGCCTAAGAGTCTCACAAAGAATCGAACGACGTCTCGTTCCGTTCGAACACTATCACTTGGGAATAAGGTCTCTAGGGTTCCACCGCATCACTTGGGAATAGAAGTAAGATCTCTACTTGTGTTTCGCTAAATGACTTGTTCCACTAACTAACTTGCTGCACAGCATTAAGTAGACAGACTCCAGACAATGCCTTCGAATATGCTTTAATCACGGCTGGAGGATCTCAGACAAATATCAGAGAGAATCCCACCAGCAAAAAGAATACAACAGTTTTTATTGAATAGGAGCATGTCAAAAATGACATGATACATTACATAATTTCCCTACAATTTGATTGGTTCTTCATATGCAAACCCTTCTGTTACTAGGTAGGAACAAACTTAGAAGTTCAGTTGATTACTCAATATGTCATGAGACTAGTCTAAACAGTATATTTTTGAAATTGTCTCGTCAGCATCTCCAAATTTTCCATCGACAGCAACATTTTTCAGAGAACATTTTGTTCAAGTGTTTAGAATGTTAGGCCTAAAAGAGAAGTAAGTTTAGATGTTAGAATTATGATTACCGGTAGTTAAAAAATCTATCACAATTCCCATTTTGCAATAAAGTGCATTGATGTCCTTAAAGTCTGTAACAGATTCATGATGAGATAGCTGTTAACAATTTAAATATAATTGTTAAAGGATCTTGAAACTTATGCCAGAGTTAAGTCCTTAATGACACTCTTTAAGTCACTATGCGGTTAATGCCTGTTTGGCTCCTCTCTGCTCTTTGCATCACTGTGCAATAACAACCGTGGAGGGCATCGGCAGTGTGGCAAGCAAACTCCATCCTGTACAGGTCTCAATTTTATCTTATTTTCTCAGATAATAATGAGAGAATGATGTCAGATTACATAACATTATAACTACTTTTCCTTCCTCCATTCATTACAACATTATCTTTATTATCACTTGATATATTGCTTTTCTGCTCGTTTGTGGTGTAGTATCTCTGACAACAATAATATTCTAATTTTCATCCAGGAGCGAATTGCAAAGACTCATGGGTCACAGTGTGGGTTCTGCACGCCAGGAATTGTGATGTCTATGTACGCTCTTTTAAGAAACAACCCTCAACCCACCATGCATGACATTCAGGAGGCCTTTCAAGGTATATTAATAGTCATAACTTCTTCATTTTGTTAACTTTTATCCCTTAAGGTAATATATTTTTCAAATAAATCTTTTTGTTTTTAAAATTGGTTGCACACAGGCAATTTATGTCGCTGTACTGGGTACAGACCTATTCTGGAAGGCTACAGGACATTCACAAAGGTAAAATTATATATTTATAATAGTTTGTGAGAGTAAGTGGGAGTTTATGGGTGTACACAAAAAAATCAATAAGTTATGATCAATAAGTTATGACGACGTATGTTTTTACATTGCTTAAACTCATCAAAACATTTTTTTTATAAGTTGTACAAGATTCAACTAATTTTTGTTAAGTCAGTTTAATGTCATTTAAGTTGATATGACTTAAACATCCATGTTGATTGTACTTTTAATTTACAGTGTAAGAACTATCTATTACGACGTATATCCAAATGATAATTTGCCCCAAAGTGCAGCTAAAAACTGCTTAAAGGGATAGTTCACCCAAAAATGAACATTCTGTCATCATTTACTCACCCTCAAGTTGTTCCAAACTTGTATGAGTTTCTTTCTTCTGTTGAACACAAAAGAAGATATTTTGAAGAATGTTGGTAACCAAACAGTTGACGGTAGCCATTGACTTCCATAGGATTTCTTTCCTACTATGGAAGTCAGTGGGGGCCAGAAACTGTCTGGTTACCAACATTCTTCAAAATATCTTCTTTTGTGTTCAACAGATGAAAGAAACTTGTACAGGTTTGGAACAACTTCATCATCTTGGCTTATTACAACAAGTCATCTTGGCTTATTACAAGTACAAGATTAATATTTCCAGGTAGTCTGAGCTGATATAAGGAATATTGCTGTAAAATAAACAGAATTAGCATAGACAATATCTTTTGTTTAATATCTGCCTCTTCTAATTTCAGGATGGGGGATGTTGTGGTGGGAAAGGACAAACGAATGGCTGCTGTATGACTAATGGAAACACACAAGAGCATGTCAATGTGAGTGGAACAGACATCCAGACACTATGCTCTATTTTCTCTGAGCACAAGCACGTTTTTGTCCTTAAGTCTTTCCATTTATGATAAACCTTTAGCATACTGTAGTTGGATATGAAATCAATGACATGGCAGCCATTGCATTCTCATAGGAAACCAGTCACATGTTTGAACTGACACTCATAAGCATGTGAGGTCAAATCTACAACCGTGAAACAAACAGGCACTTCAATATCACTGTTTCACAATCACAGTACTGCCTATCAGTGCTAAATGTTATCTAAGGACTTTTCATCTGCAAGGTATATATATAACTCATGGTGCCAGTTGCCCGTTTGTACTTTTACAAATATTTTTTACATTTCTTTCTCTAATTTTAGGACAATTCAACACTTTCAGCTCAGAAATTGTATGACCAATCAGAGTTTATGCCACTGGACCCGACACAAGAGATAATTTTCCCGCCTGAGCTCATGGTGTGTATAAAATAAGTTTGATTGACCATCATAGTAAAATGGCTGATTACTGCATTAAATGGACGCATCAACAGTTTAAGTTATATTTGTGCTCTACAGAGTCTGAGTAAACAGCCCCAAAGAGAGCTGAGGTTTATAGGGGAAAGAGTGTCTTGGATTCAACCCAGCTCCCTCAAGGAACTCCTGGAGCTGAAGGCGACCTATCCAAACGCTAAACTAGTGGTTGGGAACACAGAAGTTGGTGAGGCCCACATACATTAAGAATATCAATAACATGAAAATAGTATAAATTATACAGTTAGTTCCGGTCCTTGAATTGGATTTTCTAACAGTATGAATGTAATCTGGATGTACTATATTCGTCATGTTATCATTGACATGTGACCTACAGTGTCAGTTCCGTCGCTTCACTGCCATTCACAACTCCTCTTCCGTAGCCTCAAGTGTCCATCAGATGCGCGCTTCAAAATCTCGCCAGAAATATGTCCAGGAACCATTCTTTCTGCATGTTACATTGTTATGCCAGTAGGTGGCGACAAGTGACTGTATTTAACAAGGAGTCATTTAATAATTCACTCAACTGTTTTGTTCAAAATGTTGATTCATTCAGGAATAAAACAAGTGACTTCATTATTTACTCAACCGCAATGCAAGGCAAAAATACACACATTTTTTCTTTGTGCAGTAATCAAAGAACTCAATGCAAAACATTATGGGATCAAGTTTTTAATTGTTTTGAGTCTCTGTTCTAGGCATTGAGATGAAGTTCAAAAACCTTCTTTACCCTGTGATTCTGGCACCAGCTTACATCCCAGAACTGAACATCATCCAACACACTCAGGATGGTAAGAGTCATATACCTAATGGGATGCTGTCAATGTATGTTGTTCGATAATTTGAAGCAAATATTATTTGTCAATACAATACATTAAGACATTATAGAGTCAGAACTGTATGTGCATTCATCTGTCTTCAATCTAGTCTTTTTTTAGTGGCATTTCACTGCTTAGGTTAATTGATAGTTGACGGTTAATCGCGGCTGTAACAAGCATGTGGTTCACAGGCATCCAGGTTGGCGCATCAGTGACGTTGACTGTGTTGGGGGATGTGTTGCATGCAGCGGTGAAGAAGCTGCCCGCTCAACAGACGGAGATCTTTAAGGCTGTTCTTGAGCAGTTGCGCTGGTTTGCAGGACAGCAGATCCGAAATGTTGCGGTAAGTCATGTTCCTGAAAACAAAAAGTGACACAGCGTTGGTTACACTTTATTTTGATGGTCTCCTTTAGACATTCTGTTGACTGTAAGTAACATTGCGCCTTCATGTCAAATAACTGATTAAAGTATTACTTGATTATTAGTAGACTGTTAGGGGTGGGGTTAGGGTTAGTAGAATAAGGTGAAATGTACTTGCAAAGTTACTTATAGTCAGTAGAATGTCTGTTCGGGAACCATCAAAATAAAGTGTGCAGAAATTAAGCATACAGTGTACTGATACTCTACTAATACTCTAATGAGAGTAAGTTGACGTGTACTGTAGGTGCAATGTTACTTGGTAACGCTTCCTTTTACAGTCCTGTTACCCATGTACTTACTATGTACTTATTATAGTAATTATAATTACTTGGTAATAAGTTATAACTAGGTACTAACCCTGAACCTACCCCTAAACCTACCCCTGAACCTACCCCTAAACCTACCCCTAACCCATGTACTTACCTTATATTAGCCAGTAATTTATAGGTAAGTACACTGTAAGTACACGTAAGTAATGTACTGTAAAAGGAAGCGTTACCCGTTACTTATAGTCAAGATAGTGTCTAAAGGGGACCATCAAAACAAAGTGTTGACAAAGTGTTTTATGTAAGTTACTTAATGACTGTTTAACTTAATGAAATGCCTAACTTGAACAATAAAACATAAATGATTATGAATGTATACGTCACATGGTTGATGAATCATGTTTTAATCATCCAACCTTTTTGAAATGAAATGATTCATTTCAGTTACTTAAATATCATATTAATGCTTTCAGGCTGTTGGTGGCAATATTATGACAGCGAGTCCCATTTCAGACCTTAACCCTGTGTTTATGGCAGCTGGCTGCAAACTCACGGTGATGTCCAAAGGTACAGTACACCCCCCGATCGAGGATCAAAGGTTGTAAAAGTTCATGATCTGATACAGAACACAGAGAACAGAGAAAACATTCAGAGCCAGTCTATGTAAATATGCTATTCCACTCATTTTACATGCATTCTGGCTGGAGTCTGAATGTTATGGTGGTAATTACTGTAGCAGTCAATAGTAATTCTATAGGGAATTAGAGATACTGTCAAAAAATGTACAGTATCCCAGTGTTTGGCAGCTTATTGAATGATTGTGGTACATAGGGTAGGGGTTAAGGATACTGGAAGCTAAATAGGACTTTCACAGTACAGTCTAGTTTATGAGTAACATGTACTGTATAGGGTGTTAACCTTGTATGTTTTCTTGACATAGTCTCCATGTTCTTTGTTCTACAGATTTTATGATAGCAAAAATACATTTTTACTTTTAATCTGTTTCAAAAATTCTATAAAAATCTTTTTCTGATGTTTTAAGGGGAGAAACGTGTTCTTGAAATGGATGACAAGTTCTTTCCTGGTTATAGGAAGACCGTTTTGAAGCCAGAGGAGATTCTGTTGTCCATTGAGATTCCATACACAAAACAGGTCTGCAGATTCTTTTCAAAATAAATGTTTTAATTGAAAGTACGATAATTTTGTCATCTATTACTCACCCTAATGTTGTTCCAAACCCATGTGATGTTCTATCCTCTGTGGAATACAAAAGAGATTTTGAAGAATCATGGCTACTCTTTTACATATAATGAAAATGAATGGTGTGGTGAATCTGGACTGTCGAGCTCCAAAATTGGTCCATATGACTTGTTCGCTATATTGGAAGTCTTCTGAAGTCATACCAGGGCTTTGTGTGAGGAAACCCATTTACGTTTAGAATCTTTCCATAATTCTTGTATTTTCTTTAACTCTTCTCCCTTTGTGTTCAGCTGAAAAAAGAGAAAGTTATACTGGTTTGGAAAGACATATTGATATTGATGTTGGTATCTCAGTGTGATGAATCAGTCATTCTTTCAATTCATTTTTAGGGCCAGTACTTCTCAGCCTTCAAACAGTCCCCTCGCAAGGAGGATGACATCTCCATTGTCACATGCGGGATGAATGCATTCTTCAAGGACCAGTCCAATATAGTGGAGAGTATCCGGATAAGCTATGGAGGAATGGCCCCTGTGACTGTCCTTGCCACGGCCACATGCAACAGGTTGCTCAACAGGTAGAAGATGATGGCTGGCAAATTTTTTAAATTATTTTCTGACATTCAGCCTCATTCCTGAATCATGAGCAGAATGACTGCATCAGTTTCACAGAATTGTTATTTAATTGCAGGCAATGGAACGAGGAGCTTCTAGAGGAAGCCTGCACCTCATTGGCTGAGGAGATGAGTCTGTCTCCCTCAGCTCCTGGTGGGATGGTGACATATAGGCGCACACTGACTATCAGCCTCTTCTACAAGTTCTTCCTCACTGTCCAGCACAAACTGGCTCTGAACCTGCAGATGGAGGTTTTTTTGTTTGTTTGTTTTTTGCACATTTACACATTCAAGTGTTTGAGAAATTCCGAAACAGAAGTAATTTAAAGTTATATTTTGGGCCTTTTTATGCCTTTATTGTCAGGGTTCTGTCACTTCTGTCTGGTTTTATCTTAAGCTAGAGAGATATTTGGAGGAAACGCATACAGATGCAAAAAGGCATGAGCCTATGTCAATTCCATCAGACATCCCACCTATCAATCCACCAGAATACTAAATGGAGGTCTGTGCACCTAAGTGGAAAGAGGTAGAGCAGGCTGTGAGAAAGGCAAGGGCTTCATCATCTCCAGGGCCTAATGGAGTTCCATACAGAGTGTACAAGAGTGCTTCAGGAGTTCTACGAATTCTGTGGAAATTGATAAAAGTGGCATGGGAAAAACAGGTTGTACCTAGAGCATGGCGCAGAGCAGGTGGAGTCTTTATACCTAAAGAAAAAGATGCTACAAGCATCAGTCAGTTTCGTCCTATTTCACTATTAAACGTTGAAGGTAAGATTTTCTTCAGTATTATTGGTCAGAGATTGTCCACCTACCTATTAAAGAAAGGCTTCATTGACACTTCAGTTCAAAAAGCGGGCATTCCAGGGTTCTCAGGATGCTTAGAACACATCAATGTTATCTGGCAACGAATTCAATCAGCTAAAAAGGAGAGGAAGGAGCTCCATGTGACATTCCTGGATTTGGCTAATCCATATGGTTCAGTGCCACATGAGCTTCTTTGGGCAGGATTTGATTTTTTTCAGAGTACCAATGTCAATAACAAATTTAGTGAAAGCCTATTTTGGAGATTTGCAATTTAGTTTCTCAACTCCAGAATTCAGCACTACATGGCAATGCTTAGAGGTTGGAATAATGGAAGGATGCACCATTTCTCCACTGGCTTTTACCATGGCAATGGAAGTAATCATTAGGGCATCAAGATGGGTAGTAGGAGGAGAGCGCTTGGCTTCTGGGATGCGACTACCACCAATCAGAGCATACATGGATGACATGACAACCATGACTACAACAGTAGCCTGCACTAATCGGTTATTGGGTAAGTTAACCGATAATATTGAATGGGCACGAATGCAATTTAAGCCCTCTAAATCAAAGAGCATCTCGATAGTTAAAGGAAAGGTAGTAGATAAAACATTCTTCATTAATGGTGAGGCAATACCAACAGTTTCTGAGAAGCCAGTGAAGAGTCTTGGGAGATGGTACGATGGGGATCTAAAGGACACAGTGGGAGAAGTTAGACGACAAGCAGTGGAAGGGTTGAACACCCTGTGCTCTACCAGGCAAACTAAAACTCTGGTGCTTTCAGTTTGGACTACTGCCGAGGTTGCTGTGGCCACTGACAGTGTACGAGGTTTCTTTGACAACAGTGGATAAGCTGGAAGCGTTAATAAGTTCATACATCAGGAAATGGTTGGGAGTTCCACGCTGCCAAATGACCTTAGTAGAGTCACACGACAAATGTGTAAGGGAGGCAGCACCTGTGTTAAAAACTGGTAGAAAGTGGTCGGCAAAGAATCTGTGGTAGAGGCAAAGGCTGCCCTTCAAATTGGTGATATCGTGGGACAGGTACAGCATGGAAGAGGGGGTTTTGGGCTCAGTTTAGCTCCTCCTAAATGGAACAAGGCAAGCCCAGCTCAAAGGAGGAAGCTGGTAGTCAACGAGGTGCGAAAGCAGGAAGAGAGGATGAGGTGTATAAAGGCCATTTCCCAGGCCAAGCAGGGAGAGTGGATGAGATGGGAGAGTGTGTCACAACGCAAGATGGGCTGGCAAGACCTTTGGTCAATGGAAAAAGTAGGATCAGTTTCCTTATCAGGTCAACATATGATGTTCTCTTATCACCACAGAACCTAAACCTCTGGGTAGGAGAGGATCCCTCGTGTCCTTTGTGTTCATCACCTGCCACATTAAGGATGTAAGGTGGCTCTTAGCCAGGGTCGGTTTACTTGGCGCAATGACCAAGTACTGCAATGTTTGGCTTTAGCATTGGAAGGCAAGTGTAACATGACCAACAAGTTGCCACCTGTTCTAGCAAAACATTACACACAGAAGACAATATTCCTCCGCCCAGGCGAGCAACCACCAAGAAAAGGTGTTAAAACCAATTCTCGCCCAGGACAACTGGAAGCTGCTAGGGACTTGAAAATGCTGGCTGATCTTGATCAATGGCTTATTTTTCCACCTGAGATTGCCACCACTAACCTCCGACCTGATATTGTTTTGTGGTCTGGATCAGCACGCATTGTTCAACTGATAGAGTTAACAGTGCCATAGGAGGATGCTGTAGATGAGGCATATGAGAGGAAAAAAACTGCGGTATGCTCATCTGGCCACTGAAGCAGAACAGCGAGGATGGAGAGTCCAGGTTTATCCAGTGGAAGTGGGTTGTCGAGGATTTGTGGCACACTCTACAACCCGGTTCCTCAGAGACGTCAGATTCAGTGGCCAAGAGTTGCGTCGCACAGTAAAGAACTTATCTGAAGCAGCAGAGAGGAGCAGCAACTGGCTGTGGTTGAGACGGAAATATTCTGGCTGGCTGTGTACAGGCTGCCATGCTACGGTTTCCTAGAATTCTTGAAGAGTCTGTTGGTTTATTTGTATAGTTTGCATAGTAATTACAGTTATTACGTTCCTGTGTATATTGCGTGAATGAGGGTTGATGTTTGGGCAGATATTGTGTTTTGCGGTAGGTAGTATGCCATACGGAACCGTTGCCACTGAACCTACTTTAACGAAGACAGTGGGGCTCGACAACCTTAGTCAAACGGGTTGGCGCGTATGGTTGGGTTGCGGAGAGATTGTGAGATTGTGGTTAGGTCACATGTGAACTACGAGGAAGGAGCAACCTCAGCAGCAGGAGGGATGTAAAGGTCAGTAAGCTGAGTTGAGTGGGGGACGGAGGGGGGTGACTCTGGGACGCCAGAGTCACTGTTGAGCCCTCTTGAGGTGTCGTGGGCCAGTCGACGAAACACTGAGGACGGAAGGTGCCCACTTGAAGACCCTAGAGATGTCCCCTACTCGGCTCAATCCAGACGGTTGTCGTGCTGGTCCACTGGGGAGACCACACTGTAGTTGCAGCCGTTGTGTGTGCTGACGCGCCAAGTACACTGCAGCCGTTAACGCCGGACAGAAGGAGATTCACATCACCATATGGAAAGAAGCGTAAATGGATGGAGAAGCATAGGTTACTGTAAAGCTACGTCTTAGTTTGTGCTTATCTTGGCGAAAGCCGAGTACAAATCAGCATGAAGTTTTAACATCTACTCTCGTGTAATGGAAATCATAGTGGGTGACAGAGCTTTGACATTCCGGGTTTGTCATGTGCTTGTGTTCTAGTTCTGTTTATTGTGAGCACATGGCTTGTCATGTGTTTCCTTTGTGCCATGTGCTCTCCTGTCTATTGTCTAGAACCCTCCCATCTTGTTATCTGATTATTGGTTAATTCTTCCCACCTGTCTTTCTCGTTAGCCTCCTTTGTTAGTTCCCCTATTTAGTCTCCCTGTGTTTGCTGTCCTGTGCTGGTTCGTTGTCAATGTTTCCTTGTGTTACCTGTTTTTGCCTGAAATCTCTCTTGGTTTCCCCCTCAGGGTTGTTTTGTTTATAGCTTGTTTTATTTTGTATTATTTAATTAACATCATCTCATCCTGCTCTTGTATCCTTGACTCAGTTCTGACCATTCCGTGACAGAACGAACCAATAATGTGGATACAGCGGAATGAGATTTTTCCTGCGGGAGAGAAGGGATCTGCTATTTCCTTATTTGACTACTTCGCTATGTGCGCTAGTAGGACTGAGGAGACCATGGGAGCCAGCGGTCAGGTGGGAGGAGGTAAGCCCAGGACTGCGACTGGCAGCTCCTCTAAGACTCCGGCTCACCCGCAATCCTTTGAGGGATCCCGCTTGGCCAGATTCTCGGGGACTCGTGGAGGCCATAGAAGGGGACATGGTCGTCGTGGACACCAACATCAGTCCACAGTCCAAACTCTCTTCAGCCAGGTACCGGAGCCATTTAATGACGGCGATCCTACGACTTCGATGGTCCGTAACCGGAGGGTCCGGAAGGACCAGACGACGTCGGGGTTCTTAAGTCCGGTGGTCCGGGAGGACTCGATGTCGAGGATCCCAAGTCCGGTGGTCTAGGAGGACTCGACGTCGGTGATCTCAGATCCGGTTGTCCAGGAGGACCCAACTTCGGTGGTCTCAAGCCTGGTGGTCCAAGGGGATCCAACTTCAGGGGTCCCAAGCCCAGTGGTCCAGGAGGACTCGACATCGGTGGTCCTAAGCCCAGAAGTCCGGGGGTCCAGAAGGATCGGACTTCGGGGGTCCCAGGTCCGCTTGTCCCTGAGCCGGAGTCTGTCCCTGAGCCGGAGTCTGTCCATCCATCATGGCCGTCAAAAGGGTGGTCTCCACCGTGGCCACCTGAATGGTCGTCTCCACCGTGGACACCCGAAGGGTCTGCACAGCCGGATCCACTCTGGCCATCTGAACTCCCTGCTCCACCTTGGTCACCTGCACAGCCTGATCCACCCTGGTCGTCTACACGTCCTGCTCCGCCCTGGACTCATGCTCTGCCCTGGATGCCTGCCAAGCCTGTTCCACCCTGGACACTGGATCCGCCCGGGAGGCCTGTTAAGCCTGCACCATCCTGGTCCTCAGCCAGGAATCCTGGCAAACCTGATGCTCCCTGGCTCAACCCTCCCTGGTCAATGCTTTGGACTTTATTGACTCTCATTTTGGTTCTGTTTTGGCTCCCCTCCCATCTTGTTATCTGATTATTGGTTAATTTGTCCCACCTGTATTTCTCGTTACCCTCCTTTGTTTGTTCCCCTATTTAGTCTCCCTGTGTTTGCTGTCCTGTGCTGGTTCGTTGTCAATGTTTCCTGTTTCCTTGTGTTACCTGTTTTTGCCTGAAACCTCTCTTGTTTTCCACCTCAGGGTTGTTTTGTTTATAGCTTGTTTTATTTTGTATTATTTAATAAACATCATCTCATCCTGCTCTTGTATCCTCGACTCGGTTCTGACCATTCCGTGACGTTTATTGGATAGGACAGTGTATAGATCAGACAGGAAAGCAAAGGGTGGAGAGAGGGGAATATGATTGGCAAAGGACCCCAAGCCCGGAAACAAACTCAGTTCGTACAGTACTATACAGTAAGTTGGAGCGCTGCCCACAAGGCTATTGGCTCAGACGTAATTTTTAATAAATAACTAGATAAATCAATAATTTAAATACAAATTAGTGCTGTCAATCGACAAAAAAACCAACAACAACGAATTAATCTCTAAGTTTTCTGTAATTAATCGTGATTAATCGCACCTAACATTCAAATGTTAATTATAATTATATGTTTTGTATAATTTCATATTGAAATGTAGAAACAACATAAAGATGGTATATTTTAAATGTTTACTTAATGGCATCTCTTTACTGAATATGAATGAAGGACAGTATCACAGATACCAATACAGCTACTGATGAAATGGATTTTTCTCAATTTCTGTAGACAAAATGAGTAATAGCCATTCAACATTACAGTATGAGTGAGAGCCTTCATTTTAACGTTTAATATGCTTTAAAATATATAACAACTTTTAATTAAATCTGTTTTTTACCTGCTGTGCCTATATATATATATATATATATATACAGTATATATTATATGTATGTGTATATATATATATATTAATCCTTATTAAAGCTACAAAAGTGAATCAGTCAAGAGCTGTGAGTTATTTTATTTTTGTCTTTTGTTGTTTGATTAACATTAATGACAGACAGCAGCAGGAATATTAGTCTGCCGTCAGTTTAAGACCTGACGCAAATGACCCGGATCTGACACGCATCTAATGTTCTCACAACTATTTTCGGTCATTTAAGAAGCTGCAAGAGGGAGGGGAAGTTATTTTGATTAAAGATTAGGAGGGCACATGAATTAAAAATAATAATAATGATGTGCACGGATAAATCATTTATAATAAATTCTGTAATATTCCATACAAACCAAGAATTGTCCATTTTGATTTCATGGTGACTTTAATTGAAATCTGTGTCTCTACAGGGTGTGACTGTGGAAGACATCAGGCCTGAGTATGCTACTGCTACTGAGCTCTTCCAGTTGGACTCACCATCCAGTGTACAACTCTACCAGGTACATATAAATAAAGCTTTGGCAGCTTTGTCTGTGTATTGTTTTGGCAGATTGCTTAACTTTATTTCTTTGTTTGCAGGCAGTTCCCCCTGGTCTTAATAGTGATGATGTAGTGGGGCAGCCGATCATGCACCTCTCCGCTCTTAAGCAGGCCACAGGAGAAGCGGTCTACTGTGACGACATACCCTGTTATGAAAATGAGCTCCATTTGGCTTTGGTCACAAGCACTAAAGCTCATGCCCTCATAAAGTTAGTTGAAAAAGGACACACGTCATGTTCTGGAATGATTTAATATTGAGTTAAAACCATCTATATGACTTATCACATGCACAGTGATGACGTTAAAGAGAGCCTACGTTGTTTTTATGAACCTCATGTCATAAAAAGGTTCAGTTCTGAACTAGATTGTTGTGATCTGAGACCATCTTTATCCAAGATTGTTAACTACATGTCTACCTGTTTTTCTTTTAGATCAATTGACACCTCTGATGCAATAGCGGTTCCTGGAGTGTTTGCATTTATCTCTGCCAAAGACATTCCAGGAAGTAACATAACAGGACCTATTTTCTATGACGAGACCGTTTTTGCCGACGATAAGGTGGATTAATCTATATTTCAGTGCATTTTCTGTGCAGTATTTCTAATGAGAGACGTATTAAATTGATTATGACAGTGTTTGCCTTTTATATAGAAGTCTGTTGTAAGTTATGATGCAGAGTAAATCAGGGATTAGGCCACCATAGGACAATGGCTTTTACATTTCCCTTGCAAAACAGAGTGTATCATTCGAAAGGTGTAGCAAATGACGTCATGCACATGTGACAGACGTACAGTATAGTAGATGGATCCCCGTGCAAAATGTTTCTCACATGCATCATTTGATTGCAGACTGGCTTGGCTATTGTATGATCAAGCATCTTTTAACGGCATAATCATTTATATTTGCAGTTACACTTTGACGTGTTCTTTAATGGTTAAGCATCTTGGACGTTGTACAGTAATAAAATGCCAGACATTTGCAGCAAAGACCTTTATAGGCTTATAGTGAAAAACTAAAGTTATTTTTGAGGTAAACTTTAAAAAAACAACAGTTATAATAATTATGTATTTATGTATTTTAATGTCTTTGATATGTGTCATTTGACAGTATTATACACTACAGTAAGATTTTTTTTTTTTTTTTTTTTTACAATTTAAAGAAATTAATACTTTTTATTGAGCAAGGACACATTAAATTGATCAAAAGTGAAAGTAAAGACTTCTTAAACACATTTCTATTTCAAATGACTTCTTTTGACATTTCTATTCAGAGGTATCACGGTTTCCACAAAAACATTGAGCAGCAATGTTTCTTGAGCAGCAAATCAGCAACATTAGAATGATTTCTGAAGACTGTAATGAGTAATAATGCTGAAAATTCAGTTTTGTCATCACAGGAATAAATTACATTTAAAAATATATTAAAATAAAAAGTTTTTTAAAAAACATTTTTATTTTATCAAATAAATGCAGCCTTGATGAGCAAAACATTCTGTCTAAAAACATTTTTAAAAATAATACCTGCCCCAAACTTGTAATAGTTATTGTGTGTTTGATATGTCTTACAAATTATTTGTCACTATTGTTTATTCATGAAGAGTTCATTGTTTTCTTCCCCACATTGATCTTTCATGCTAGGTCACATGTGTTGGACATATAGTGGGGGCCATTTTGGCAGACACACAGGCTCATGCTCAGAGAGCAGCCAAAGCTGTGAAGATCAGCTATGAGGAACTGCAGCCTGTGATTGTCACTATTCAGGTTTGTATTTATGTGTGCACATACACACAATAGACTTAAAGTGGTGACTTAAAGGGATAGTTCACCCAAAAATTTAAATTAGCCCATGATTTGCTCACCCTCAAGTCATCCTAGGTGAATATGAAATTCTTCTGTCAGACGAATACAATCGGAGTTATATTAAAAAAATTCCTGGCTCTTCCAAGCTTTATAATGGCAGACAGTGAATGGAAGTGAAGGCCTTCTGAAGCGAAGCGATGAGTTTGTGTAAGAAAGATATTTATATTTAAAACTTTATAAAGTAAAATAACTAGCTTCCGGCCAAACAAACATACGGATTCGACTTAAGTCTAAACGCAACTTATGCGAGTAATGTCACGTACTGCTGCTATTTACGCTACGCCATGACACACCACGTTACTTCTGACGTCATAAGTTTCATAAGTTGCGCATTAGGCGTAAGTAGACTGCGTATGGCCATTTGGCCGGAAGCTAGAATTTTACTTTGTAACATATTAAATATTAATATTTTTCTCACACAAACGCATCGCTTCGCTTCAGAAGGCCTTTATTAACCCCCTGGAGCCGTGTGGAGAACTTTTATGATGGTTAGATGCACTTTTATGGACTTATAATGACAGAAACTGCCATTATAAGGCTTGGAAGAGCCAGGAATTTTTTTATTATAACTCCGATTGTATTCATCTGAAAGAAGAATGTCATATAGGATGACTTGAGGGTGAGTAAATCATGGGCTAACTTTAATTTTGGGGGAACTATCCCTTTAAAGTTGCATATTGAACAAAAGTAAATGTTTAAAATTAAATTCTGATAATGGCTACAGACCTACAACTCACTTTTGGTTTTCGACCCAGTACCACTGATCTACTAGCCTCGTGAGACCATCCTGATCTCGCGAGCTTGAGCAAATCCATCTGGCGGAGTCAGGTTACTGATCTACAATATTATTGCAAAACATTTGGTTATGTGATCTGACCTCTCACCATTACTTAGCGCTTTTCCTGCTGTCATCATTACATAAAAGGGTTTTTCAAGGTTTTCAAAACAACAAGCTTGTACAAGTTCAAAAATACACAGAACGCATAAAGATAAGCTTGACTGGTTTGCTAACATGTTTGCGTTCACTCTTTCAAACAGGATGCTATTACCAACAAGTCCTTCTATCAGCCGGTGAGAAGTATAGAGAGAGGAGATGTTGCACAAGGATTCAAAGACTCTGATCACATACTGCATGGTATAGCCATGTTTCTATTTAACCCTAATTCTCCTGTGCTTGTTAAACAAGAGTTCCTCACGGGTCAAAATAACCCCAAAGCCCTAAAATTTTACCTTTTTTTTCTTTCTTTTTTTTCTGAAAGCTTATTTCATTTCATTTTGATAGTTTTTTCTATTTTTAATGCAATTTTTTTTGTAGATTTTTTTGTTCAACAGTGGATGTGATTGGATATCTGGACTAACCAGCAGACTAATCACATCACAGCATCTCGAATGTAGTTTTATTTCTTCTGAAATGCCTGAGCCAAAGCCTGTCATCAAAATAATTTGGTTTAATTCCCTCCCAGAAGCGTTATGTCTGTGCGCTCTGAGATGAAACTCCTTTATGATGTAGGAAAAAAGAGTCAAAGGCGTCCTCGATTGCAGCAACTTCCGTTTTTACTACAGATATTTTGGGCCAATTTCCGAGGAAGAAAAAAGTTGGAAACGATGCTATATTCGCATATGTTTTATGCGATATTCCAATATTTGCGCATTCACAACTTTGGATGGAAACATAGCTTGTGATACACTGCATCAAGCCTATTTCTGAATAAAGAAAGTATCTAATAAAAGAGTCATATTATTTAAAAGCATATGTTTATTAATGAAACAGGAAGTCTGTACCTGATTATAAATGTGCACAAATTATGTGGTAGATGTGCAGGTTTCTCGCCCAGCATTTAAATTCCTTGAAAGATTCTGTTCAGTCCTGTTTCTCTTTAATTTGATGAGCTGACTCCAAATATGTGATTCTGCAGGTGAGATGCACATTGGAGGACAGGAACAGTTTTATTTGGAGACTAATTGCACGCTGGCTGTCCCTCGTGGAGAGGATGGAGAAATGGAGCTGTTTGTTTCCACACAGGCGCCCTCCAAGACTCAAGTAAACATATAACATATTTACTTTCTTACTTTATAAAAGAAAATTAATTGAAATGAATAAAACAATTATATTTAATTAATGTACATTTAATCTAATAATACGTCATATAAAAAATATTAATAAATAATATCATTATTATTTATATTACTATAGTTTAATAATAGTCATAAAATAAAACTCAGTTAAATAATAGATGGATGGATGGATAGACAAGCAGAGATTAAATAGATAGATAGATAGACAGACATACAGACAAGCAGATCATTAAACAATTAGATATAGACAGACAGACAGACAAACAGCCAGCTAGATAGATAGATAGATAGATAGATAGATAGATAGATAGATAGATAGATAGATAGATAGATAGATAGATAGATAGATAGATAGATAGATAGATAGATAGATAGATAATTGATTAGGAACAAAAATGTGACTGGATTATTAATGTTGCAAAATATAATGTTGATTGTACTGTCCTTATGGAAATGACTTGCTGTGTTTGGCTCAGGCCCTTGTGGCTAAAGCTCTAGGAGTGTCTGCCAACCGGATCGTGTGTCGTGTAAAGAGGATGGGAGGAGGATTTGGAGGGAAAGAGAGTCGGAGCACCATTCTCTCCACAGTGGTTGCTGTTGCCGCGCATACGTATGAGAACTTACAACAAATGAATGTAACAGCGTCGATGTGCCTCATTGTGTAAGTTGAAGATTTTGTTTTGTCTTTTTCTTCCAGGGCCAAGCGACCGGTTCGCTGCATGTTAGATCGCGATGAGGACATGCTGGTCACAGGTGGTCGGCATCCATTCTTTGGTCGTTACAAGGTGAGAAATGTTGCAAATTAGCCAAATATTGTCCATGTCCTTGTTAGACTTTTCTCAGACACGATCTCTCTGTAATCTCATGTCTAGGTTGGTTTCATGAACAGTGGAAGAGTGATGGCACTTGATGTGACACTCTACAGCAATGCAGGCAATTCACAGGACCTGTCATTGTCAGTGAGTGGCCATCCCAAAGTTTTGAACATCTGTTTCCCCCTGGTGGTCAGTGAGACACATTACAAGAAATGATTACCCTCCAAGTCTAAAATTGTGTCTCAATCCACAGATCCTGGAGAGGGCACTGTTCCACATGGATAACTCCTACAACATTCCTAACATTCGTGGCACAGGCTACATGTGTAAAACCAACCTGCCATCTAACTCTGCGTTCAGAGGCTTCGGTGGGCCGCAGGGCATGATGATCGCAGAGAGCTGGATGAGTGATGTGGCTTTGAGCTGTGGTCTGCCGGCAGAAGAGGTTCGTACTGCAATTCACTCTCTCTCTCATAGTCCACACAGATCACTTGTAACAGGATCCTTTACTAATTCCAGGTGAGGAAGTTGAACATGTACAAGGAGGGAGATCTCACGCACTTTAATCAACGTCTGGACCAGTTTACCATTAATCGCTGCTGGGAGGAGTGCATGCAGATCTCAGACTTCAACAAGCGCAAGGATGCAGTGGAACAATACAACAGGTCTGAAATACTCCTAGATATCAAGCTGAGAGTTTGTGCTGTTTAACGAGACTATTTTGAGATAAGTGTAGTGGAAATTAAATTAAACTGTTTTTGGTGCCTTTTTGACATTATAAGATAAAAAATTAATTTACTAAAATGTAAATAAATAGTAAAAAAAATTATATAAACTCAAAATTTACAAATAATACACATTATTATGTAAAATGTATAATAATAAAATCTATAAATAACTAATGAAAAATAAACAAATGAAATAAATGTTTATGTTTTATTTGCTCTATCATATTCAATACACTTCAGTGTCAATAGAGCAGCGTCAGAGTTATTAACTAAAGCTAAAATACATTTTTAAAAATAATCATCAGTAAGATCATGTTCGTTAATTGAAATAAAACTAAAATAAAACTACTGTAATATTAGATGACAGGCTTAAAATTAAAAGAATGATAGGAATGTTGTGTTGGCATCTAACTGAAATGAATGAGTTTGAGTTGAAATAAAACTAAAATAAAAATTATGAAAAAAAACTAAAAACTAATAATGACAAAAAGCACTTGTAAAAATGACTAAAACTGAAAATATAAAAAAGAATTGTAAATTAAAAATATTTATAAATACTATTACAGTATAGTAATAATACTAAACTGACACAGAGCAGCAGATGATGTAATTTTTATGAAGGGATTTTATTTGGATGTTACTGTAAATATGTTCAGTTCAGGTACTGCCAAGCTTGTTGGGTAAGAACTGCTGTAATCTTGTCATTCCAGGCAGCACCGTTGGACCAAGAGAGGGTTGTCCATCATTCCCACCAAGTTTGGCATCAGCTTCACTGCTGTCTTCCTCAACCAGGTCAGCCCTCTTCCTCTCAGGCTCTAAATAATTCTTAGAAAGAGGTGATTAGGTATATAAGAATGTGATGTACATTTCTGATTCAGGCAGGAGCATTAGTACTTGTGTATGCAGATGGTTCTGTTCTACTAACTCATGGTGGAACAGAGATGGGACAGGGCCTGCACACTAAAATGGTCCAGGTAACACACACACACACACACACACACACACACACACACACACACACACACACACCCTATGTGTATACATACATACATATATATATATATATATATATATATATATATATGTTGATCAGAGCTTTTTATATTAATCTTTGTTTTGTGCAGGTGGCCAGTAAAACTCTTGGAATCCCCAGCACAAAGATTCACATCTCAGAGACCAGCACTAACACAGTTCCCAACACCAGCCCTACGGCCGCCTCTGCCTCCTCAGACCTTAACGGCATGGCCGTCTATGTAAGGCTCATGCACCAGAAATTCAAATTTATGATGCGTTATGTACACTGCCTTTCAAAATTTTGGGGTCAGTAAGATTTGTTTTAAATCTACATTAAATTTATTAAAAGTAACAGTCAAAACTTTTACGTACTTCAACTTTCTATTCATCGAAGAATCATAAAAAAAAAAAGTTTCTGAAGGATCATGTGACACTGAAGACTGGAGTAATGATGCTGAAAATTCAACTTTGCAATCACAGTCATTTTAACCCTTGTGTTCTGTTCGATTTCTGTGTACACCCCTTATGGACCGGGTCAAATTGACCCTAATTGGATTCAATGCAATTCCTCAAAAATCACACTATGAAAAACAACAAAGATTTAGATACAAACTGTAAACTTTTAATATCAACATTTGTCAAACATTACAAAAACATTATATCTGAAAATATGATTAATGAAAATGTTTTTAAAACATTTTTTAAAACAGTTTTGTTTTGACAAAATTGGAAAATAAACAGTATACTGATTTTTTTGCATATATTTTTTTTTTTACTTTTTTTTTTTTTTTTTACATTTTATGCTTTGAACATCATAACTGAACAAAAAAAAATGGCTGTATAATGAAAATTTTTCATTTTCCTAAGTTAACTTTCCCTAGTTTCCTAAGACCTATTTTCCTAGTTTCATTATTCACTCACTGGGAAGTGAGAAACCAAACATAACAAAAACATACATCAAATAAATGTTTTTTATTTATTTTTTGGCTCTGTGAAGCTGCCTTTGAAAATCCTACACAAAAGTTTTGGTTAAAAGCTAGGTATATAGATATTTTGAATATTGAAATGAGAGCTTATTTTACTATCTGTGTCTGACAAAGATTTTCATCTGTAATTTGCAAATAATTCTGAACATTTTAATTTTAGCTTTTTCAAGTGTGTTTGGTTAGGGTTAGAGCACTTTTAGATGCAATTGCACGTTAGAACTGGAGTTGAAGTGCCCTGACATACAGAAAATAAATGTTTTTATTTTGTGTCTGTACAGTTGCTTTTGAATGGCTGTCTATGAGGGTCAAATTGACCCGCGAACATCACGAACGTAACAGTAATTTTGTTTGTATATGTCAAAACACATCAGCATGTTGAAACTTTGCATGCATGTTCATCATGATAAATGAGAAAAAGTCACAAAATATCAAGAAAAAAAACAAAGGTTAACCAGTATTTCCAACAACTTGAAAATCGAAACGGGTCAAATTGACCCGCAACATAACACAAGGGTTAAAGTATATTAAAATACAAAGCAATTATTTTCAATTGTGATAATGTTTCATAGTATTACTGTATTTTTGATCAAATAAATTCAACCTTGGTGAGCAAGAAACATTAAAAAATATTCAAATCAACATTTGTCATAATCAGTAATTCCACGCAAACTTGTAATGTCCCATAGAATGCTTGCCAGACTTTACTACAAAGACTTCAGCCTTACAAAGACAAAAACCCCAAAGGCTGCTGGGAGGATTGGGTCAGTATCTAGCTTTTTTCATGTAATTATTTATCAAATGTTTGAATATATATATATATATATACTGTATACACTGTGTATGTGTATATTTGACATTTTGTCTATTGCAGGTGAAAGCAGCCTATTTTGACAGAGTAAGCCTGTCTGCCAATGGATTTTACAAGTATGTTAATTTCTTAATATTTTCTTCAGCTAATAAACTCATCAAATTATAATACATTTCAATAAATTTGATCATTGTCACATTTTACAGTGCTAATCATGTTGGTCCTCATAGAAATGAGAGGTATAATTAATCCGATTATATTTGATAGGACTCCAGATCTTGGCTATGACTTTGACACAAATTCAGGAAGGGCATTTAACTACTTTAGTTATGGCGTGGCCGTCTCAGAGGTGGAGATAGATTGTCTAACTGGCACACACAAGGTAATGGCAAAGTTAATTGTGTCTTTATTATGTTCAAATGCCAGTTTTACTGACCACAGGACATCTGGTCTACATAACAAATTACATATTTGAGATGCAAGCTAAAAAGTTAAATCTCTCCTGTCAGAATCTTCATACGTCCATAGTCATGGATGTGGGCAAGAGTTTAAATCCAGCATTGGACATTGGACAGGTATTTCATCTAAAATGAATAAAGCAGATCACTCAATTGTTATTTCATTATGAATATTATCTGATTTATGGCTGCGTGTGCAGGTGGAGGGCGGGTTCATGCAAGGTTTAGGCCTGTTCACGCTAGAGGAACTCCGCTACTCCCCTGATGGTTACCTATATACTCGCGGACCTGGCATGTATAAGATTCCCGCATTTGGGGATATTCCAATTGAATTAAAGGTCTCGCTGCTCAGAGACGCTTCCAACGAGAGGGCCATCTTCTCATCAAAGGTTGGTCGCACCACAACAACCGACTTCACACAGTAGATGATAGTTTGTGTCTGTTAACCTTTAAGGCTGCGTGCTTGTGCTCAGGCTGTGGGCGAGCCTCCTCTTTTTCTGGCGGCCTCAGTGTTTTATGCCATTAAAGATGCCATCACTGCTGCCAGGGCTGAGTCTGGCCTGACTGGACCCTTCAGACTGGACAGCCCCGCCACTCCTGAACGGATACGAAATGCCTGTGAGGACAAGTTTACTAAACTGGTATGTAGTAACTTTTTAATGCTCACAGAACTGCAAATTAAACATTGCATCAAATCTGAACAAGGATGATTTCAGACTGAAGATGAATTTTATTATACCTTCTCAAATCAAGTCAGACACTACTGTTCAAAAGTTTGGGCTCAGTCATTTTTTGACAGAAATTAATATGTGTATTCAGAAAGGATGCATTTAATTGATCAAAAGTGACAGTACAGAAATTTACTCTGTTACAAAATATTTCTGTCTCAAATAAATACTGTTCTTTTGAACCTTCTGTTCATCCCCAAAAAGCGCAACTGTTTTCAAAGTTGATAATGAGCAGCAGATCAGATATTAGAATTATTTCTGAAGGATCATGTGACACTGAAGAATGGAGTAATGCTGAAAATGTTGCTTTTCCATCACAGGAATAAATCACATTTTAAAATATATTCAACACAGTTATTTTAATTTGTAATAATATTTGATGAGCATAAGAGACTTATTTCAAACACTTAAATCTTATGGACACCAAACTTTTGAATAGTAGTATATATAAAATATATTTCAAATTACATTTTATGTGGTTTAATGTTTGATATCATATCAAATGCTTCTGATAGGGCCTAATGAAGTGCTGTTGACCTTTAAATACATGTCTGCGTGTGTGTGTGTGTGTGTGTGTGTGTGTGTGTGTTTGTTTTAGTGTCCTCCTGCGGATCCTGGCACCTTTATTCCATGGGCAGTGCATGTGTAAGACACAGCAAACTCAATTTAAAGTCAACATGAAATCAAAATGGACCCTAGTATGTACATTCTTAATGCACATTCTTTGTCTTGTGGAATGATTCATCGGTGCATGTTGTTCCAAAGAAAGTCTATAATCTTCAAATCAAATTGTTATAGCTTACTGTTCCCCTGAAACAACTTGCCTTTCCTGCTGGCACAAGCTATTGAATAACGTTAACCATTTGCCAAATAACTATTTAAGCATTGCACATTCGGTCGACTTTTCACAATCCACTTAATTCCTGATGGATAACTTCAAGTCCCATTCACACAGGTGTTGCAAAAGGAAATTTATGTTGACTTTAAAAGCTCTCAGCATTCAAAATGCACAATAGTGAACACAGACACTAAGTGATGAATGATAACTGCCAAAGAAACGGAACGATTGAGGATTTTGTACTGAGCAGATTATACTGTGAAAAAAAGCATTTGTGTTTTTATCAGCTCTCTGTGCTCTAAGCGAAGCTTAGCTAGCATTATATGAACATACTAAAAGTGTAAAAGGTAATTTTTTCATCTAATCCCTTTGTAGAAATACACATTTGTCACCCAATATTATTAATCTTTTTTTTTTTTTTTTTTTTTTTTAAATTGTCAAAAGAAAATAGGGGGATAACAAGATAAAGTTGTCTGGTCACGTGATCTCAACATGATAGAAAAGGGAAACCACTCTCATGTAGAATCAAACAGCTTTTTCTAATACACGGGTACTACCGTATCTTCAACTAATGTGAGTGTACAGTACAGCACAAAAAAATGCTTAGTGCCACTTTAAATACTAACACCACCCATCTAACAAAAATGTTCTAAGAACGTTTTGCTAATGTTCCCATTAAGTTCCCAGAAATAAAACTTTAAAACAAAATGGTCAGTTTTTAAAATGTATTTAAAAAGTTTTTTCTTGGTTATGTGAACGTTCTTCACACATTATGAAAAATTTATTTTTTAAACTTTCTGAAATAAGTGGAAGCATTTAAAAAGGTGTCCAACTTAAACATTTCAGAAAAATGCTCTACGAACAACGTATAAATAAACGTTTTTCTGCTAAGGTTTTGAGAACATTATTAAAGACCAGATACGTTTAAACAAACATTCTATTAATGTTACTGAAGGAACTTAGAGAACCTTGCCAAAACGTTCTAAGAATGCTCCCTGTTAGCTGGGTAAATACCAATATTATATAGAATTTGAATGTACTTATGAAAATGTAACTCAATTATGGTTTGTTACAATATAAATAATAAATGATAGTCATAATTAGATTACTTCTATGCATATTCATATGTAGGCTCAATGTTGTATATTGTTCCAAATTATGATTTCTCAAAGATTTAAGAGTTCTTGTTAATAAATGATTTATGTATTTGAAAAAGTGCATTACACCTCACAATATTAAATAAAAGCCTGTTCTCACATACAGTTCTTGTTAAGGTTGATACCCTATTAAGTTTTTTATAATGGTGTTTGTCAATGAAAAGCTCTCTCCTCTGAGAGTGACCATGTATTCGGTACAATCTTGAGAGATTCTGGACATTCTTTGTGTTCCCTATGACCTCATTCCAATCACTCCATTAGCTGTGGAGGTCTGTGATGGCAGAAGAGGGTGCTTTTGAAAGCCTGATGCAATGACTTCAATCTGTAAGTGTAAAGGAGAGGATTAAACACTCAATTTGCATGGAAGAGAACGGCTGTTGGCAAAATCACAGGACAAAAGTTTGCCAGATCCACTTGTGTCTTTTCATGTTAAAACTTAACAGACTGGAACCCTTGTTTCTGTTCAAATTCTGGGCTTTCCAGTTTTTCCTGAGGTCTGCTGGCATTTGGGCGATTCTTTGCATGTATTTAAAGGGATATTTCACCCAAAAATGAACATTTTGTCATCATTCCAAGCCTGTATACATTTTTTTTCTGCTGAACCCAAAAGAAGATATTTTGAAAAATGTTGGTAACCAAACAGTTAATGGGCACCATGACTTCCATACTAAGTTAATGGGGCCCATATCAACTGTTTGGTTACAGACATTCTTCAAAATATCTTCTCTTGTGTTCAGCAGAAGAAAGAAATTCATACAGGTTTAGAACAACTTGAGGGTGAGTAAACTTTTCATTTTTGGATGAACTGTTACTTTAAACATGTTTAATGGATTTCTCAGGTGAGATTGATTTTAATCTGCACAGTTTGCTAAAAATGCTGTGAAATAAAAGTGGGGAAAAGAGTTTGTTTTTTAAATGCTTTAAATACATTTTAAAGACTGTATCAACCCAAAGTGACTTGATGGTTCAGGGTTTTGAAATGATATTTTTCCTTGCCAATTGATTTGCTCATTGAAGAACAACAACAACAAAAGGCTACAAACCAAGCCTCCCATACACATATGAATATAAGTTACAGAAGAAAACTTCACACTGTTTAACAAATTACAATAACAAAGCAAATTCAGTTAAATATTAACATTAAAACATGCAAAAATATAGTTTTATGTAAATATATGGAAACTATTAAAACGGTGCAAAATACTTCTGAATGTCGGCAGTTATCTATAATATATCTTAATATAAAACTGCGTGACCAGAAAACTATATAAAAAAAATCGTAGTGCTTTGAAGTGAAATGTGGTTCAGTTTACTAGCAGCTGGCAGCTGCACGACTAGTTGAGTCAGGTCAGTTAACGTATGCTCAGGTAATGTTCATGTCTTGTGTGTCATTTTAGCCTTAAACCAAAGCGGAAATTCGTCAGAGAACATTTGGGGGTTTATCTGCGCAGGTACAGAAAGTGAACGCGGTTTCAATGAGCTGAAATTAACACAAATATCCGTGATTTCCGGTGGGAATATACGGAAGAGAAGTGTTTTCTGCGCTACGTGGCCACCTGTGACAGCAGCAGCGCCTCGTAGTGACAGTTTGTTTGACATGATGGAGTTTGACAGAGAAGAACATGGCAGGGAGAGGACCGATAAAAACTGCGAGAACGATATTATTAACACCGAGAATCACGAGCCCGGCACTGAGGAAGACCATACATCATGTGAGGATCATGAAGAAAATCAGAAGTCTTGGAGTTTGGAGAGAAAATGGGGTTTCACATTACAGGAGCTCTTCAGACTTGCGCTGAAATTCTTTAAAGGTACAGATAATGAATTAGCCTAGACTTTCACTTTCCCTTTTCTGTTTGTCCAGTAAATGTTTACAACTTTATTCTGTACCGTCACAACCTGCAGTCATGTAACGTTACTGTTTCTTTATTGGTAGCAAAACAAAATTAAAGTCCCTTTACTGTGACTCATTGTCTAGATACATTGTAATAATAACTCCACCCATTCAGAAACTGGAAATGCCACTGATAATAATAGTGATTCATGATCTCCCAGATGTTGTCATTATTTCATGATGATTTCTACATGTTTTGTCCCACACAGAGATGAATGGGAAAGCCTTTAATCCAACATATGAAGAAAACCTCCGTTTGGTTGCACTACACAAGCAAATCACTCTTGGCCCTTATAACCCAGAAGCATGTCCAGAAATTGGGTTTTTTGACTGGCTGGGAAATGACAGAAGGTAACAGAGGATTATGTATGTAATGACTGTTTAAGGCCAGTATAATTATCTCAGTACAATAAAAATGGCATTACCCTGGTATTATGATATATGATATTTGTAAATTCCATGAAATTTGGTAGCATGATACATACACACATATATTTGGTAGCATGCCATGATATAATACACACATAAAAAATCAAGCATTGTCCATTTTGATTTCATGGTGACTCTAATGCCATATTGCACAACCTTACAATGTCTATAGAAGCTTCATTTATCACTGCATTTCTCAGGAAAGAATGGCTACGGCTTGGCAGCATGGCCAAAGAGGACGCCATGGAGGACTTTGTGAAGCTTCTGAACTCCTGTTGTGCTCTGTTTGCACCATATGTGACATCACATAAGATTGAGAAGGAGGAACAAGAAAAGAGACAGTAAGTTCTGTATTAGTTAAAGTGCCTGACGTTTCTCATAATGTAGTCTATTAAGAATTGTAGGAAGCCCTTTTTATTCTGTTTGTGTGTGTTTAGAAGAGAAGAGGAAGAACGTCTCAGACTGGAGAGAGAAGAGCAGGAGCGACGGCGGCTGGAAGAAGAAGCACGACGCAGAGAAGAAGAGGAGATGAGGATAAAAGAGGAGGAACAGAGAAGGAAAGAAGAGACAGAGAGGTTACAGATAGAGCGGCAAAAGTGAGTGATGGTAATCTATAGATATATTGATTTTGAAAGTAATCTTATGCTCACCAAGGCTACTTTTATTGGATCAAACACAGTAAAAACAGTATAATACAGATTGCAATTAAAAATAATAGTTTTCTATTTTAATATATTTTAAAATGTAATTTATTCCTAATGACAAAGCTGTCTTTTCAGTATCAGTGTCTCATAATCCGTTATTACTCTAATATGCTGATTTGGTGCTCAAGAAACATTTCTTATTATCAACGTTGAATACTGATATGCTGCTAAAATTTTTTGTTGTTGTCTAAACTGGATAGATTTTTCTCCAGGATTCTTTGATGAATAGAGTTTTTTTGAACCAATGAATCAGTGAGAGAGTTTCAGTTCTCTGTTGTTTCTGTAGAGATGACTGCTGCTTTAAAATGTGTTGTTAACTTCTAGTATATAACATCTGTGTGCACAGACAGCAGATCATGGCTGTTCTGAATGCACAGACGGCAGTGCAGTTTCAGCAATATGCCCAACAGCAGTGTCCAGACAACCCAGACCAGCAGCAGTTACTCATCAGACAGCTGCAGGAACAGCACTACCAACAATACATCCATCAGGCCCTTCACCTGCAGCAGGTACAAACACACCTGGAGACATTTACGGAAACTTCTCATCAGGATCCTGGTCTTAGGTTGCTTCTTTATGATTTCAGATGGCCTCGCAGGAAGACTCAAATGCGACTCAAACGTCAGAAGCTCTTCCTGCTCCTGTCTTAAGTGAAGCAGTGCCCAGCTGCAACCCCAACAACCAATCAAATTCATTAGAGAATCACGAACAACAGTCAGACTCAAAAGCCTTCCATTTGTGTGTAG